AATTGTAACTCATTTTAAGGGTCTGTGATTTCTAGGACCACTTGTAAGTTTACCATAGAGTTAAATAAATACATATAAACATATATATGCATGCACACCCACATATATACACACATATGTAAATGGAGGATACAGAAGCTATCTTTTAGGGATATACTCAGAAGTTGTAAACAATATACATATTTTTTAACTTTTAAATTTAATTTCAATGGCAATAATTTGAACTAAAATCGTTTTTGTTTTTTTTTTCTCTGAGCTTCTTATGTCCAGTAAAATCATGAGTACTACATATTTTTTAACTTTTAAATTTAATTTCAATGGCAATAATTTGAACTAAAATCGTTTTTTTTTTTTTTTTCTCTGAGCTTCTTATGTCCAGTAAAATCATGAGTACGGCATATTGATGTTGAAAATATTAGGCGGAAAAAAAGCATTAGGTAGTTATATGATTTATATACTGGGTATCAGACATACATATCAATTAAGGTTGATTTGTGTTACATCTGATTTTTCAATTCAACTGTTTACTTTTCTTAAATTTTTTACTTAATATTATTAGTCATTCTATTATTTCTATCACAAGTATATCCATTAATAAATTGCACTGTATTTTCTCAATTCAGAGTACTTTCCAACAACACTGTCATTTTTCTGTAAAGGAACTGTGGATAGTTGTTATGGCCAACAGTGGTACAAAAAGAGAAAATATGTTTTATCCTGATCTCTGTAAAAGTTCTCACTGAATTTTGTGCATGTACAGAAAGATGAACTTTTGTGATCAAAATAATTCATGTGGTGTTTAAACATAATAATACTCTTCTCCAATGTAGACGAGGGTCCAATGTATCTCTTACATTGGACATGAGTAGCTTGGGGAATGTCGAACCCTTTGTGGCTATACCAACCCCACGGGAGAAGGTAGCAATGGAGTACCTGCAGTCAGCCAGCCGAATTCTCACAAGGTCACAGCTGAGGGACGTCGTGGCAAGTTCACATTTACTCCAAAGTGAATTCATGGTGAGCCTGCTATTTATTATTTACTCTTTGGTAGGTATTTTGACATACTCGGAGCTAGAGACACATATGGAAATGACACTGCCCTGTGCTCAAGCATCTTACAGTAAACAAATGGATCCACCCTCTGTCTCACCAACTATTAATGTGTTCAAACTAGAATGTGATAGCTAAATTGAGGTAGAGTTTGTAGGGTTGGCCAGGCAAAGAAGTGGCATGAAGGAGTTAGGCAGAAAAGGAGCATTTCAGGACGAAGGAACATCCTTGCTGTCACTGTTTGGAGAATTAAATTGTTCTGTTCAACTGAAGCATTGAAATCAAGGTGGAAGTGGCAAAGGTTGAGCCTCAGAAGTATAAAAAAAGCCAAAGTCTTAATATATATTTAGGAGTTTGGACTTTATCTTGTGTTTTGGAAAGACCACTCTATCTGCAGTGGAGTAGGCACTAGAAGGCAGCAGTTTGGAGGCTCTAGAGATAATGCTGGGGAATTGTGATGGTGGTCTAAACTAAGACAGTAGCATAAAAAATGGAGAGAATCTATACGACTCTACCAGAAGTGGGCTTAATTGAATGAGGCAGTCAAAAGTAATGGAGAATTCAGGGATGATACACGGTGTTTTGGCTTGAGCCACAGGGTACATGTGGTGCCCTTTAATGAAACAAGGAACACAGGAGGAAGACCAAGTGTGGGCTCAAAATGATGGCGAGTTCAGTTTCAGACCTGTCAGTCCTGCTGGTGATAGCTCAATGCATGATCACTGTATCCACCCACAGAGCATGGAGTCAGATTAGACCTTCTTAGGTCTAATCATTTCCCAAGGAGAATATTCATTTTACAGGTCACCTTGAATCTTTAATTACTTGTACGTCTTAAGTTGTGCATATTAAGTGTCTAAAGTAAAGTAAAAACATGGAGTTTTTTTATATTAGACTTTACACTATGTTATCTTTTCACATGGGAAAAAAAATGAGACCTAGAGGGATGAAAGAACCCGTCAACGATCACACAGCCAGCCAAAGGCACACCTAGTGTTCTTTCCTATAACTGCAGACAGCTCTCTGTTTATAAGATAAGCCCTTAACATAAGCCTGTTTCCCTGAAAGGAAAGATGAGGTCAACAAGGACTACCCAGGAGAGAGAGAGTGCTGGGAGATGACAGATTGTCAATGTGTGTCAGAAAGCGGGGGGTAAGAAAAAGGACAGGAGTAAAGATATTACCTACTTGTTGGCTCTGCCAAAGCAGGCCGACCTGTTTAAAATTAGCAGACACGAACATGTGTTTTCTATTGAACGTTCAACAATTTTGCTTATGTTGGTAACTTGGAACTGAGAAGTTAAAACATTTAGTGGGAGCAGGGACTAGGGATGAATATCATAAATTCTAACATAATGCAGGTTTAGGAAACAGTGTAAAAAAAAAGCTGCTCCTGTCGGTGGACCAAGCCTCAGATACATAATATAGTCTGGCTTTCCTCAAATTTTCAGATATACTGAAAACTAGGACAATTTAAATTATTTATGATTTATTTCATTTCAATGACTATTAGGTTGTTGAGTTATATTTTTCACTGGAGAATGTTTAGGGAGTGAAATATTATTTCATGTGATCTAAGGATTTCATGCTTAGCATAAAAGTTATTTTATTTCACATTAATCTTATCTAAGCAATGCTTTGCAGGATTTTGTTAGAGAACATAGTATTTTGTATCATCAAATCCTTAAATATTTGTTTGGACAATTTTGAAAACTTTGGCTCATTGCTTTCTTTGTCCCAGTCAGCTACAGATGCACCCCTTTTTAGGTCTAATGCATTTACATAGAGCCACTTCTGTTCTAATTGTCCCCTCTCCTACCATCTGAAGCACTTAATATATATTCTGACTAAGAATATTTACATTCTTGTAAGTGGGAGAAAAAATATCTGGATACCCTTAACAAAAATACTGCATTGACAAGCACGAATGGAAGAGTCCAATTATAAACCCTTCCTTAAAACGAAACAAAACAAAACAAAATCATCATCACTTGAATTAACAAAAAAGTCATTGATATCTACCATTTGTGGGACAGGAGGTTTCAATAATCCTAAAAGAGTCACAATTATTGTTAAAAGAGAATTTATCATAGTAAATTTTTGGTACTGAACTTACATAAACATTTAAATGAATTTCAATATATTGTTTAAAAAATCCATTTTTCAGCCACCTGTGTAATAATTTCAGCAATTATGTCATAACGAGATTCTTAAAATCTAACCGAAGTGTAATATGTCTCTTTAACGTCCACATTAAAAAATAAATCTTTCTAACACAGAGAGCTGTTTCTTAGAATTCAGCTTGTCAGAATACAGCCGATATGTTTATGAAAGGAAGGGTGTTGGTCAACCAGAGGTGGTAGTCTGTTGTTTTATAAATGACTTTGAAGTCCAATAGGGCTCTTAATCAAATGGCCCCCTGTGAAGATTTTCTTTGTGGCAGCATTAGATACACTAATTTGATATCATTTATTTTTGCAGGAAATACCAATGAACTTTGTGGATCCCAAAGAAATTGACATTCCACGTCACGGAACTAAAAATCGCTATAAGACCATTTTGCCAAGTAAGTTTCTTTATTTAATAATTTGCATTGTAAAGCACAAGACAAGCCTTTCCCATTTATCTCTACCTCATTATTTACAATCATTACAACTCCCACATACATACAAATTTGGAGTTACAAACACATCTCAAGACTAATAATCATTGAAATGGTCTGAGGTTAATAATTTTATCTTGCATTACTTTTGTTATAATAGCCAGCTCACAATTCCAATAGTGACACGGTTTTGAAACTTTATTGCACCACACATTATGGTCAACTGATTTTTTCAAGGGTGTCAAATAATTCATTGGGAAAAGGAGGGTCTTTTCAACAAATGATGCTGAGATAACTGGATATCCACATGCCAAAATATAAGGTTGGGGACCCTGCCTCATACCATGTACAAAAATTATCTCAAAATGGATCTGAGCCCTACATGTAAGAGCTAAAACTATTAAACTCTTTGAAGAAAACAGGTGTAAATCTTCACGACCTTGAATTAGTCAGTGGTTTCTTAGGTATGGCACCAAAAGCATAGGCAACAAAATAATTGGTTAATTAATTAAACTTTATTAAAATTAATAAGTTTTGTGCATCAAAGGATACCTTCAAGAAAGTGAAAAGACAACTCACAGAAAGGGAGAAAATAGTTACAAATCATATATCTAATTAAGTACTTGTGTCTAGAATGTATAAAGAACTCTCACAACTCGGTAATAAAAACACAAGCATCCCAATTTTAAAATGGGCAAAGGATTTCAATAGAAATTTCTCCATAGAAGATATACAAATAGTCAATAAGCATATGAAAAGATGCTCAACATCGTAAGTCATCAGGGTAATCAAAATCACAACAAGATACCACTTCATATTAACTAGGATGACTATAATAAAAAGTGTAGGCAATAAAAAAAATGTTGAAAAGGATGTAGAAAAATTGGAAACTTCATGCATTGCTGGTAGAGATGGAAAATGGTGCAGCTACTTAGGAAAACAGTCCGGCAGTTCTTCAAAAGGTAAAACCTAGAGTTAGTATGCAACCCAGACATTTTACTCCTAGTACATACCCAAGAGAAATGAGACGCGTGTTCACACAAAAATTGTAAACCAAATGTTTATAGCAGCATTATTCACAGCAGCCAAAAATTAGAAGCAACATAAGTATCCATCAACTGATAGATGGATAAATAAAATGTGGTATAGCCACACAATGGAATCAATAAAAAGGAATGAGGTACTGATGTATACTGCAACGTGATGAACCCTGAAAACATTATACTAAGTGAAAGAAGCCAATCACAGAAGACCTCGTATTTCATAATCCATTTATATGAAATGTCCAGATAGGCAAATCTATAAAGACAGAAAGCACATTAGTGGTTGCCTAGTGTTAGGGGGAATGGGGATAACTGCTAAAGGGTGTGGAATTTATTTGGGGGATAATGAAAATGTTATAAAGTTGATTATGGTGATCATTGCACAATTCTGTTAATAAAAAAATAAACTCTGCGGTGACACACTAAATGGGTGAATTGTATGGTATCTGAATTACATCTCAATGAGGCTCTTACCAAAAAACTTCAATGTGCATAACAATCACCTATAGTCCTTATTAAAAAAGAGTCCTGTGCCAACCCTAGGGATTTTGTTTAAGTAGATCTGTGGTTGAGCCCAGGAAACTACTCCTAGCAAACACCCAGGTGATCCTGGTGCAATTTATCAACATCAAGCAATGAGCTGGATACCAGGGACCAGTAAGGAATAAGAAACAGTCTGTAAAATCAAGGAGGTCACAGACTAGAGAGGAGAGAGATAAACAAGAGATTATGTTCAGTGTCATAAGAGCCAAAATAGAGATATGACCCAAATCGTATAGGAGTTTAGAGAAGACTGAGTAATTAATTCTGCCTGGAGCAGGCAAACTCACTTCAGAGAGGAAATGACATTTTCATCACTAAACAAGCATATAGTTGGGGGCATAGCAGAATACATGAACATCTCACAGCAATAGCTCTAGAAGACGGAACCACTAAGACTTTTTAGAAGTATTGACACTGAAATAGCAGTCTTCATAATTTAGTCCATTAATTCACTCATAAGGCACCAAATTCTCCATATTTATGGTAATGTCAAATTAAAAATCAAGTAATTAAAATATTACTGTTAATAATGTCTTTGGGCTTCCCCTTCTAGTAGAATTGGAAATTCATTGTTAAAATCACTCCACTGCAACATTTTTAACTGGTCTCTATAGTTAAATCCACTTATCTAAGATATATTCACTGTTGAAAGATACTTAATGACTACAACTGGCTGAAGGGGATTAAAATGCTCTGTGTTAGAACTGGTTTCTCTCTCTGTTAAAATTTTCATCTGAAATATACCAAACAAATAATCAGGGCGTATACATCCATCACAGTTATTATATTTACCCAAGCCATTATCTAATTTCAGAAAGAGCTGGAAATTATTAGGATTATTTCGAGGTTCAGCCTTCTCTATTTCCGGCTCCCATGATATCAGACGACTGCTTCGTGGTCCTGTGTCAGCTTTTCCATTCCCAGAACTGGGTGGACTGCTTGAAACAGGGCACCTGTGCTGACAGCTGATGTTGCAAATGATGGATTTTCTGTTGAAACTGTCTGCAGCCTGAATACCACACCCACCCACTGTTGTACAAAATATAATTTAGGAAATATAGCTTGGGCAAGCACACTATGGGTTGAAAATGATCAGAAAAGACTGGAATGAATAGGCAAAGCTGTGCTTTATGGCTTATTTTAGATTGTAATATAAAACAAATTTGAAACACTGCGTAAAATGATAATTAGCAAATGATCAAGATTTTAAGTATTATTATCGTTTTTATTGTTTTAATTTACACTAAATCCTCTTAGGTTTAAAATCTTGCCAGCTTATACGTAAGAGTGAGGTTATGTAATTTTGAAGATACTTTGCAGCAGATGTACGGATGGCCAAGAACCAATTAAATTATAGCTATTTCTCTGAACACAGTGTTGGCCTGGCTCAGAACACTCTAAATGGTAGATTAAATGCTAACATCAAGTTTATATCAAATTATTTCATAATATTAACAAATATTAGCTGTAAAAATGTCTACAACCTAAATCACAAAAGCAATAGGAAAAAATGATTATATGTCAATATAAAATTATTAGCACACGATGAAGTATAATAATAAATTTGATATATATTTCTTCGATGCAGTCAACTTATTTATGCAAATATAAGACTATATAGAAAAAATTAAAGAACGCTATTTACTCAAGCCATTATGTTATACCTTAAAATTTAATATCTAGTAATGTTTCCCACTAAAATGTTTCCTCTTATATTAAGTGCCTAGCACATAGTAGATATGCAAACAAGTGAATCACTCATTAAAGCAACAAGTTGTTGTAGGGAAAATACAGGAAAATGGTCAGGGCCCCTCAGATGTTCAGAATCTTGCTGAGCATTTGATGTAAATATGCATGTGCACCCAGGTGTTCCTTGGTTATTGTCTAATGTAATTGCGCATGTGCACCCAGGTGTCCTGGGTCATGGATTTAAGAATAAAGGATGAGTGGCTCTGATCCATGGTGCCTACCCTCCACCCCTGGGATGCCCCCTGGGGGAGGGGGGCCATGGGGAGGCTGCTACTGCTGCTGGAGGCCTGGCATGTGAGGAGTTTGTGACCCAGTCTGTACAATGGGTTTGAAGGGTCTGAGCCCTAGCTCTGACAATATAGAAGGAAACTTAGCATAACTAAAATAATGAAACTTTTTGGCTTTAGTTATGATTTGCCTCACTCGACAACTGGCGTAGTTGTGTAGCTTTGCAAATACCTACCAAAGTTCCAACTAATAATAAGTCCTCAGCTAATGTTAGTTTCTCTTTTCCCTCCCTACCTAATGGAAGGTGAATCCATCATTAACCCCAAAACCAATTCCAGAAAATAGGGACATCATCTATGTAAAGTTTACAATTCCAAATGCAGAGTACTCAAGAGCCCCATTTGCTCTTATAATTATCACATGTTTCTTAACAAGTAAGTATCCATATAATCCCATCCTGCATTGCCACCATCAACTCTCTACAATGAAGGGAATGTTCTGTGTCTCCAATCACTAGCCACATGTGTCAGTTGAGCACTTGACATACAGCTAGTACAACTGAGGATATGATTTTTAAATTTTATTTTATTTTAATTAACTTTAATTAGCTAAATGTGGCAAGTGGCTATTATATTGGACAGTGCATGCCTGGAGTCTTCTCTCTCCCTGAAACAAATTTGAAGACGACACATGATCACCATGAAGGTGTGGCCAGACTCTGCCTTTCCTACCATTTTCCACTTAAATTGAATTCACCTATGTAAACCATCCTGTTCCTCTCATCCATGCATTTGCCCACCACTAGCAGTGATACACTTTCCTCCCACCTAATTGCTTCTTCCCTTGACTTCAAACCTCAAATGCATTTCTTCCTGGAGGAGAAATCTTAAGCACAGAATAGCCTTTGACAGAATCTGATGGGATGCCAATCAAACCATCAGGATCTCGGTACCATTTTGTCTAAGTGGAAAACTTAAGATTGCCAGAAGATATTTTAGGGAGACCAGGGTGGGGAAATTTCATGTGTTCTATACACCAAATCTATCTCTCTCTCCTCTTAAGCACAGAATAGCCTTTGACAGAATCTGATGGGATGCCAATCAAACCATCAGGATCTTGGTACCATTTTGTCTAAGTGGAAAACTTAAGATTGCCAGAAGATACTTTAGGGAGACCAGGGTGGGGAAATTTCATGTGTTCTATACACCAAATATCTCTCTCTCTCTCTCTCTCCTCTCTCTCTCTCTCTCTCTCTCTCTCTCTCTCTCATATATATATATATATATATAAAACATATATATGTGTATATATATGTATAATATATGTTGAGAGGAAAAAAGAAAGGAATAAGGGAGAGAAAAAGAGAAGGGAGGAAAAAAGGATAGATAGATAGATAGATAG